GAGTGCATTTTGTTACCCACTTTCATCTCAGCAACCAGGAAAGCTGGGAGGCTAAAACTTTGGATATATGTTCCAACCCTCTTTGTCATCCTCCCGTTTTAAGATCTTTTACCATACACGCCTAGACCCCGCGTACGGGACCCCCAAAGAAATATATTGATGGGAAACGGTTTCGCGAACCAGGCAAGGTAGAAAGCTGAAACTTTGCCGAGAAATTTTGCGAACTAAAGACACGTGCGAGCTAAAGATTTTAAATTCAGCTGTCGACCCCACCAACCACAGCCTCAAGCAGCTCTTCAACCCAAAAATTGTTCGTGACTCGGACCTGAACCGCAATCGCATATGTAAATGAAGATGGACTTTTTTTTTTGACAGACGACCGCTCGAGCAATACTTGCACCTTTTAGTGAACTGGAAATTCGCATTCTTTCAAAAACCGAGCATTTACTGAAAAGTGACCAGACTTCATGCAAAAAATTGGTAATCATGTATCTGGAGGTCCATGCGGCCCTACAATGCAGCACCTTCATCTCAACCGACGCCCTTTTCCCTGCATGCTGAAAGAGGCCAAGGCGCGGCCTATACGAACTCAAGTGTTAGTCTACAACGCAGGAATCATTCCTGCTATTAGCGAGTTTGGTGCAAAAACGCATGATCGCACCAGCAAGCCTGGTGCATTCCAGCCTGGATCTATGTTTGTCATTATCCTATGCATGGCTGAGAATACAGATCTCAAACTTCCAACTTTCCAGCTTCGTAATTCAGTGTCTAAGCTGTTTGGGGTAGCGCACACATATACACAAATTCCGATACGAATGAACCCCTCACAACAAGCCTTTTCGACATTTTGTAGCGAGTTTTATTTGCAGGGCAAGAATTCTGGATCAAAATGAGTGTTTTTAAAGTAGACTTTGTGATAACAAGCTAAAAGAATCCAAAGAGTCAAAAGGATAGGAATGCGGCATTTTGAGTGATTTAAAACAACTCTTTTACTACAAAAACGGACCAACCAGTTTTAAAACTGCATAAGAAACAAACCTTAATCAGTCACTATCTTTCTTTAAAAAGGACTTTAGAATGTCTATTAACTGAGGTTAATTCACGATGCAATTTTTGTTTGGGCGAAATAGACCTCACCTCTTTCTTGTCTATATTTCATAAAGAGGAACAGAATAAACAGCTGCAAGCCTCGGGTCACTGCCATATCCAACGTTTTCTCAAGCAACCGCAGCAGTACTGGGAAGTTTTGTCGAAAGTCGCGTTTTGAATTTCGATAAACTTTGTCAATTGCTCTCTTACTAGTCAGTGAAAAGGCGTTCAAAAAATTAAGTTCAGTTATTAGAATTTCTTTAGTTTAAAATGAATTTCGGTGAAGAAGCTTTGTTATTTGTCTTTTTACTAACTTTTCGTGACAAAATTTCTAATCTCAGACAAGGCGTGTAAGAAACAAAAGTTATCTTTTACTCCGGCTCACTAAAAAACGAACATTTTGAAAAAGCGGTAACTTGCTTCTTGGCTATCAATTTTCAACTAAACTATTTTGCAGCTTCCACATAGCCTTTTTGATTTTCTAGCAGATTAACGGAACACAGTTGTGTTTTCGAAGAGTTAGGTTGCTCAATATTATTATAGGTGTGGTTTTCGAACAGGAGAGCCAAGTGGCGTCGCGAGGAAAAACTAAGGAATCAAAAGCGGCCACCAGGCATGGATACCACAATGGCGTCAGCAAATTCCAGTATTAACGCTAATAGCGCTGCTGGTGGTTCCGGCTCTACACAAGGTCAATTACAGTAATCTTTAACTGAAAAATAATTCGCTTTTTTTTTTAAGCTGAGAAGGTCGACTGCTTAGACTGCCTCAAGGGCTTTCTTGTCTCATTATAATCGCCACGTAATGGCTGAATACGATAGATATATTACTGGCATCAATTTATACACCCCACTCTAAGCAATGGTACGTTTTGACAAGTTCCGAAAAACGCCTTGCAAAAATAAGACCCTTTTTAATTTTAAAACATCTTTTGAGCCGGTAACAATTCTTGACAAACCATAACGCTTGCACTACCATATGTTCTAATTAGGGAATAAACATGAGAGTTACGTCTGACTGGCTTATGTAAGCGACTTGAATCTCACCTAGTTCGCCTTTCAAGCAGTGATGTTTAGGTTTTTGCAGGTAGTTTATTAAATCCAGGAAGCACGGGCACGCCTTTGGGCAGCAGTCCAGCTACTACACCAGCAAGGTTCAGTAATCCGGTTGTGAGCAGCAGCTTCGTTCCTTCCAGTACACAAATGTACCCTTTGCCTCAGCCTTCCATGGACCCCTATGGGTAAGTCTACCAAAAGTAATTAGAAATTTTTGTGAAATAATGCCCAGAACATGTAATTTATCAGTTATAGCACTGAACGGAAAAATGGCTTTTTGAGTGTAAAAGTAGTTGTTTTTGTCGGCGATGTGATGCTAAGTACAAAAATGGCGAGAAAATTGGTTAATTATGTACACTTTAAAGAATTCCGAGAAAATGATGTGTAAGGACCTCAGTGCGCACCAACAAATGCAGTCACTTCTCATTGTTCTGTTATAAATCTCATATTGCATGACCTGCTATCAGAACGAAATATGAGTTACCTTTCCAGTTTTTATGCGTTTTTGCGTTGCAACAGTCAGCAAACGCATCTTGTAACGACATGTGTGCATGTATGTATGTGTGCTTGTGTTGTTGTGATCGTTAGCCCGGGTACTTCAACTAGACAGCCAGGACGTTTTAGACGCCGGAATTTTGGCAGTAGGTCCTTCGCCAAGTGTGCCCTCAAGGACGTGTTGTCAACTTTCATGCACGCCTGCTTCTCACGTGCAGATACGCGAAATTTTTCGCAGGAAACTCACTAGTTTAGGAACTAGCAAAGCTGGGAAGCTGAAATTTTATGAGGATGTTCTTCGTCCAAGTGCGACCCAAGGATTTTCTAGGTGCGATCAACTACATATCATATCTAGATAAACAACTGTGTAATATCAAAAATTAAATTTATATAAAAACATTTTCCATCACTGCATTAAAGTTTCAGTTTTGCGAATGCTGGATTGGGAATGGGACCACCGCAACATCCTTCTGATTTTAGCTCTTATCACATGTTTTCTGGTACCGGAAGGTCGCCGTATGATGCTTTTCATGTAAGTTCTTTTCATATGCTAATCTTATGGCTATTTTGGGAATAATATGTCACGCCAAATATTGTTGGCAAACAACGTAAAAAGAGCATTATGCCGGGAAGGTTCTGAAACCGCATCGTTCCTTTTTCGTTCACCGACTATCCAGTTAAAATTTTTTACACTATTGTGTGAGTGACCAGCGCATCTTCTGTTACGCAAAACTGCACATTTATCAGGCTCACCTTGAGAAAGCAGGTCATCCTCCTTCCTTCTCATGTTTCTGGACGCACTAGTCTTAGCACAAAACTATTTCTAATTATGCGACTCATCCCAAGTAAAATGCCGAGAGTTATACTTCTGATGCTGATTTCTAGCAACAGACGAAATTTTAGCCATATTCTCGGGCAGTGCAGCCAGTCGCACCACCGACATTTGCCTCGACAATGAACCATTCGTCAATCTCCAACGTCAGCGGTACGGTTTTGCCTTATTTATGATAGTATTACCGTAAATGACATCCCTTAGCAACAAACATATCCCTGTTCTAGTTTGCTAGCAAACAGTCCATTCCCTACAGGTACTATTATGCAGCAGCCGTTCTTAATGCTTCCATGTCTGCGTAACCTCCTGAATTGGCTTCTTGAATTCGTTCTGATCATCTTAGTCTCTAACCTTGATCTTATGGATACATACTGCTGAAGCATGCTGCCACCGCATGTACCGTACGTATTTAAAAAAATAAAAACAAAGTATGCATAATAATAAACAAATGGCCCAGTTTTAAATTTTCAAAGGTCCATATATTGAATAAAATAAATTGCAAGACTGGAAACTTTCATTTCGTGAATGAATAATTCGACTGTGTAAAGTGGACAGGGCTTACTTGCCTTGTCTTTAGAAATCATTAAAACAGTCATAAAAATTCGTGCGAGCACCCACACAGCTATAAAATTCATTCCTCGATAAGAATTGTAGGAGTCCTCTGTTTTTATAAAACAAAGAGCAAGTCTCCTTGAAAAAAAAACAGTTTCAAATAAGTAACTATGCACCATAGGGACTGGTGCGAATTTATATGCTGTAGCCAACTACAGTGGGTGCAGTGTGCAGGTATGTGCCAAAAAACACGCAGAACAGAGACGCACTTTTGCTTGTAGGCGTGTATATCACTGAAACTTTAAGAGCGGGCCACAGAAAAAGCTGAACTTCTTTTCCAGTTTGTAATCCATACGTAACTGAAAAAAACGATTCCCAGAATTTGCGCTAACATGACTGTAGGATCGGGGTAAACATAACTTCCAATTTTTTTATTTCTTGGACAAGACAAAAGTCTAACCACCTTATACATTTAGACTTTTTTGGACTGATACATTTGCCGACTTGCGTCGACAATAGCTTATTCCAAACCCAGGCTGGAATGCACCAGGCTCTCCGGTGCGATCATGCGTTTTTGTACTAAACTCGCAGATCGCTATTAGCAGGAATGATCCCT